TGGATGTAGGCGCTAATTATTTGGTTTGGAGGGCGTGTCAGCAAGATGCGTCAGTGATAAACCTTCCTCGACTGCTTTAGCAAGTTCGGCCGTGTAGTAAAATCATCTAGAAAACCCGTTCTAAACTCATGGATGTGAATCGAAGTTGCTTGCTCTGCTGGTCGATTTGAATCTGGTTTTAAAGTGGCAGAGTTCCCTTACAATGGTTGATACGTACCTACCAACTGCAAAAGGCAAATGGTAGTGTCGTGAAGGTTGCTAACTAAATGTGTCTCGGGAATAGGGAAGGTAGGTGCGATGATGAGAAAGAGGGTGGGTGGAAGGGTGCAGTAATAGGTCATACACGAGATTGTTCTATCACCACAGCGTGTGATTTCGTGAAACTGTCAGTCAGGAATGACAATGACTGTAAAACTTATTTGGTTCTCAAAAGTCGTGCTACTAATAAAGTGTCTTAAAAACGGCACCCAAGAATTGAATGACGGTTTGCAGCTCATTAATGTGAACGCATTATTATGGATAACCTCATAGCTGCCAGCGTCACAAATATGTGACACAAGTGCTTTAACAATTTGGATTCAATAATCACATCAAATCCTTTTTCAAAAAATGGTAAATTAAACGGATTTCAGTAAATGACAATTGCAGTTGTCCGGTTTTTATGATCACATCCTAGCCGTCCTTTTAGGTTGAGTGTGACGTAAAATAATGATCCCCTTTTTTGTGCTCCCGAGCGTCCGACACCGGAGGTGTTCATTGTTCCTTGGCAAACATTCAGCCAATCTCATTGAGCTAAAGAGAAAAATTACGATTTACACCATTTGTGCCCTTCTTATCCCTCCTCCCCTACTGATGGCTTTGCGCTAATCGGGTGAATTGTGAGGTGGAAAAGAGGTAGTGGCACCCAGGACAGTATCACTGATCGTTAAATCATTCCACAAAGACAAGACTGGGCAGTAATTTTTCAATCGGGATTGTTCTAATATGCAAACGACGAGAGGCGAAAGTGGCGAAGATTAAACAAGCCGCACTTGAACGACGTGAATACTAAAAAGCAGCAGTGCCATAGAACTCAAAGTCTTCCCTTATTAAATTCAGCAGCCTATGTGGGCATCAATAAGATGAAGTAGGTACGCGCCGTGAGTGACACGAGACAAACCTAGCTCTGTCTTCCTTTTCCCAATAGCCTCTTTAAGCATTTCTTCATCATCCGAGTCTAAACTGGTGCTTTTAACATCCAGGTCAGCATTATTTGTTTCCCCCAACGCAGGTAATTCCGTCATCGAAAAGTTAGGTGACCGGCTATGCAGATGGAACAAATAAGACAAACGTGTACCTACAAAATCCACACTCTTTGCATCCAACGCGGAAGGACTTTGACGACTGATTAGCAGCTGAACAGGACATTAATTCATATTCAACAGAACTCACAATCCATAACACGGAAGACAGGAGGAGGTGGTGGCTCCAAACCGAAACGCTGAGTAACAGGGAATGCAATTTGTTAGTTTATTCTGCTGCCATTAAATTTTGTTGAGCTAAGCTATTGTTCTAGATGTGTAAATGGTATTCACAATAAGTAGCAAACATTTCGATGAGTCTTTTGTTTCGTTATCAGTATCTTATCAATAATCAAAAA